TGTAACAGTTACAGAAGATGTTTGATGTATTGTATAGATATGTTTAGTATCAATAAAGACTTGTATCTAATGCCGTTCAACTTAAAAAAAAAAAAAAAAAAAAGACAAGTTGTATCTGCATTGTGAAACATATTCAAAAATCTTGAATTATATATATTTTTATTATTATAGTCTTTTTACTTTAAAAAGAAAAATATATATATAAGATTCTTATTTTTACTAATATTTTAAAAGAGAAATTAAACTCAAATAAAATTTACTATTTTTTTATTAATCTAACAAGAAATATATTTTTTAATATATTTTTTATGAAATTTGATATTTTATTTAATATTATTAAAAAAAAAAAGAAATTTTAAACAACTTATTCAAAATATTATATAAAATATAAAAATAATAATTAATTATTGCTACTAGGGGTTAAATAAAAAAGAACTATATTTGTTATTAGTATAATTATCAATTAACAAAAATTGAATACTTTTTAAAAAGTATCTTTTATTTTAATATCTTTAATAATCTTATTAATAAAAAAAATCTTTATCTTCACTTTAACTATAATATTATTATTTTAAATAGATATTAGTTTTTTAATATCTTTAGTATATAAATATTTACTTAATATTAATATATATTAATTGTAAAGTTATAATAGATTATAATTAACTTATTTACTATTTATATTAAAAATAAAAAAAAAGAATTTAATTTAATAAATTTATAATTGTAAAATTAAATAATAAAAATTGAATAATATTAATATTATATTATATTTTCAAATATGAACTTTCAAAAACAAAAACATAAATAAAAAAAAATTATAATTAAGATTTCTAATAATATTACTTTAATACTATTTCAATATTAGTTTAATACTTAAATTTATTATAAATTTATATAACAAAATTAAAATAAAATTATTTTAACAAACAAATTTTTTAATTTAAAATAAAATATTTTTATTAATATTATTATTTAAACTTTTTTTTAAATATATTAATATTTTTTTATAATAAAATAAATAATTAATAAGATATTATCTTTTAAATATAAATAGTTTCTTTTGTTTTTCTTTTTAAAAAAAGTTTTTTATTAAAATATATTGATGTAATGATAGACTAACATATATAATAATATATTGTATTTCAAAATCTAATTACTAATTATATAATATTTTTATCTAATTAGTAAGGATTATAAAATATATATTACTTAATACTTTAGAAGAGAAAATTATTAAATTACTTAAAAACAATTTTTTTAATATAATAATAATTCAAAATATATAAATAAAATTGTTAAAATATCAATTAATAAAATTTTTTAAATTATTATTAAAAAAAATATAGAATTAAGATTACTTAAAAATATTTTGGAATTAAAACAGTTTATAATAAAAAAATAAAATAAAATTTCAAATAGAATTTTAAATAATTTTATAAATTCAATAAAAGAAAAATATGAAATAATAATTAAAAAAAAAGATAAAAAAATTAAATTAATAAAATCTTAAGATTTAAAATTTTATTTTAATATACTTTTTATTAATTTCTATATAATAGTTTTAAACAATAATTAATTAATTAATTATAAAAAGTTTTGTTACAACTGTATATCTATTATTATTAAAAATATTAAATTTAAATAAATATTTTATAAAAATTTATTACTTAAAATATATATTAAAAAAAATCAAAAAAACAATAATTTTTTTAAATATTTTAATATAAAAATATTTTTATAACACAATTTATTATTATCATTATTATATTTGTAACAAAATAATAATTTTATATTTCAAATAGTATGTTATAAAGAATTAAATAATAAACTTCTTTTTTTAATATATATATCAATTATAAGTATTTTTATATAATATACTTTTTATTATTAAAAAAATCATATACAATAAAATATTACATAATAAAGTATGCTTCTTAAATGGATTTTATTTATATTAAATAATATAGTTGTATAATGTTATTAATTTATTTTTCGTGTCATATAAACTTGGCTTATAATATTTAATTATTAGTGAAAACATCATTTTCTTACTTTTTATTAACGCAAAACTCGATCTTTATAATTTTAAGTATTTAAATAAAAAAAAGCAGAAAAAAAATTTTTATTATAAGTAAAATTCTAATATAGTTTTTGATTGTGATTAAAATTTATATTTACGTCTTTGTATTTTATATAATGCGATCGTGACGTGTTATATGTTTAATAAGATTCAATATAATATCATGCAGAAACCTTTATACAATACGTGGAAAAAGAGGCAGAGCTGTATTGATAGCTAAAAATGTACTCAATGATCAAATGTTGTGTTACAAACTGCGTGTTGTGTAAGAATTCAAAAGCAGAATAGAAAATCTGCTGTATGCATTACTATTAATATAATATTAAGTAGCGAAAGCGGAATGGTGTGGTTTAGTGTCACATGATCAAGAGGCCATCGTACTTCTAAGGAATACTGTTGGAAATGAATTTATTAAGCATTAATAATAACAAGAAAAACAAACTGTTGAAGAAGCATTTATGTAAGGGAATTATCGAACAAATTTTAACATGATCTAAATCTATCCATCACATTATGTCATCTAGAAGGAAGCACATTAACAATCTAATGTGTTACTCTATAATATATTATCGTGCCCTGAAGATAACCGAAATTAAATAAGCATACAATATTTTATTAGAGTCAGGTTCTCTTGACAAATACCAAATCAAAGAAATTGCATAAATTAATGAAATGAAGATAGTTGAGGCGTTGATAATTTTCTATTTCAAGAAACGCAAAAATACTTGTAAATTAATAAAATTAATATAATTTGCACTAATGCTCTCGGCATTAAATTAATCATCAAAAGATTCCCTATTTTCCAAAAAAGCTAAAGATTTTCATTTTGTGTTTCGAAAATCGCTTATATAAATGTTTTCTAATTAGTGATGATGCTATCCTAACTGTACTTACTATCTGTGATAAAAATAATTACTATCCCTCCTAAGTGACTTATACAATTTACTCATGGATGCCGAGGAGCCGAAGGTGCGCACATTTCGTATGCGAAATTGATTATTCGAATTACTTATAATTTTATGCTATTGTAATTTTATGCGTATTAAAAGACAGACGAAGTTGAAGAGTCGATAGAACAATCAATGGAAGTTGAAAAGAAACAAGATGGTTAGTCATCAATTAGTGTAAAGCCATTTTCTATATTTCGAACGTAATTAATCCGTTTTTTTTGTAGAGATAAAATTAGCAAAAGTGGAATACGATTACCAAGCAAATGAATACGATGAATTGTCTCTCGATGTGGGTGACATTGTTACAATACTCGAACAAGGGGAAAATGGATGGTGGAAAGGGGATTTGAATGGAAAGATTGGTTCATTTCCTGCAAATGTGAGTCTATTTTTTTTTTCCTTTTGACGTTTTCACCTTAATGATTAACAATTAATTCATTTGATCATGTCTATAACAGCATGTAAAATTGATTGAAAAGAAATCTGCTGAGGAAGAAAACGACGAAAACATTAACGGAAAAGGTCTGATTAAACCAATGACATGTAAAATTACCAGGTGTTCTTTCTTCTGATTCATATTAATGTGATATAAAATTTACAGGAAAAATAACAAAAAAGTTATTTAATTATGGTGTCAAACCGGGTGGCGTGGGAAGTTTATTTGCTGGTGGATTTCCTTTGAAACAATCCAAACGAACTCAAAACGTATCGGACTCGAGTGATTCTCCAAAGACAGAAGAAAAGCATGAGAATTTGACTCATGTGTTAAGAAAAACAAATCGTACCCTGTCTGAGGATGACTCGGATTACAAACAAGTTTCAACGCATTCGGTATGTTTGAACCCTAATACTACATGTCGCAGAGATAGTAGGATTATTGTAATTATTCTATTAAGAAGCGTCATACGTGATATGTCGTTTTACTCTTGAAAATATAGTCCGAAAACGCACGTAAGCGAGAGACTGCGACAAAAGTCACACCTCCACTACCTCGTTTGCCACCTAAAAAGCCGCCTCCCAAGCCAAAACTTGGTAAGTAAACATCAATCTCTTAATGGTTTGTGTGATAATTTGATTCTCTACAACTTTTGTTTAATCTACAGAACCAAAGGCTACCGTGCTTTATGATTATGATGCGGAGGCAGATGGTTTGTTCTTACAAATGTTTCTCGGTTTCGTATCGGCGAATATACAGTAATAAACATTTAATTTGGATTAGATGAAATTTCCTTGAGGGAAGGAGAAATAATTACAGTTTTGGATAAGACCGACGGAGAAGGCTGGTGGAAAGGTAGAAATGATAATGGACAAGTTGGAATATTTCCGTCTACGTTCGTGGAGGAGATTGTAGAAAAGGAAATTCAACCACAAGAACAGATAGTAGAAGTGATTGAGCGAAAAGAGGAGAGTATTCCGACTGCTGTAACTGAACCTGGACCCGAGCATGAGTCTGAGCTTGAACCCGAAGAACCCGAACCCGAGCCTGAATCTGAATCTGAGCCTGAGCCTGAGCCTGAGATTAAACCCGATCCTGAATCCGAGCCTGAGTCTGAAACCGAACTTGAACCTGAACCCGTGCCAGAGCCTGAAATAGAGCCTATTCTCACTCCTAATCTTCCTGATAAGTCAATAGATCACCCTCCACCCCCAATTCCGAGATCTACGAGACCACAGAATCGTGAAGAAACTCATGAACAATCACATAACGAAGATTCTAGTTCACACCAGAAGCCCTCTCATGGTGGCAACCTCCCCCCATTGCCGAGTGAACAGTCCTCCACTCATAAGGATCCACCTTCAACCCCCTCTCGTAACCGACGATCTTTGAATCTATCAACAAAACGACAATCTCTTCACGAAGCGGAGTTGCCCTCAACCCCCACTCGCAATCGACAATCTCAGCACGAAGAAGAATCACCTTTGCCTAAACAATCATTAATTGATAATGACACTGATCGCTTGCCAGATTCACCTGTTCACTCTGACGACGATCAATCAAAACCAAAACCACCATCGGAACGACGGAAATCAAAAAGTATATCATCGATTAACGAAGACACTACAGAAGAATCGCAGGATACTGTGAATTCACCTGTTTCATCTGCTAGAAGACCAATTCCTCCACCTAGATCGAAGTCCATCTCACAAGAAAACAAAAATGATGCTCCCAAGATAACATCGCCACTTTTAGCAAAGCCCCCATCGATTCCAAGACCCGGAATTGCTCTGGCAAAACCTCCTTCTATTCCAAAAAGATCTCCGGCATCTTATAAAAGCACTTCATCTGTATCCGATGATATCGAATCTGAGAAGGACAAGCAACTTGAACTTGATTCAAGAGGATATGATGAAGAAGAATATCACAGCTCAAAGACTGAAGAAACTACAAAAGTTAAAGTCGAATCGCTCATAACTAAAGAAAATTTGGAAGAGACAGAAATCGATGTTAGCCAAGACGGTGAAATGGCTAAAAACATTGATGAGCATGTTAAAGAAGATTCTGTTTCCAATGATGAGCAACATGAAAAGAATTCTGAAAAGAAGGAGCCCGAGGTTCCACCCATACCAACTGGGCCTAGGCTAACAAACTTGGGTGCCGAGAGACCGGCAATTAAAGGTAGAAGACCTCCAGCAAAACATGCCGTAGTTCAAAGTCAGACCGAAATTTTGGAGCAAGCAGTTGCGCAGGTTAGTATATCCTATATGTTTAGAAAATATTTATTAGAAGCTGGGTGTTCTTTTCTCATCAGTTTTTTAAATTAATATAGGAAAAAGACGAAGTCGAGGAGCCTAAGCAAAAACCCACTAACACACCACCCAAACCAATGAAACCGAACATGTTCAAATTACCGATTGCCGGCGGAGGATTACCAAATGTCGCTCTACGTTCTGTCCCCAAAAAGCCAGTTGAGCTATCTACATCCTCAACATCTACTGAAACAAATATCACAAATGTCGAACCTATCAACAAACCGTCAGTTAAATCGATTAGCTCAAGGTTTAACATTCCAAATCAATCGACCGAAGTCGAAATAAGGTTAAAAAAATGGGTTAATGAAGAAATAAATAAGGTTAAAAGTCATTTTGAAGCTCAGTTGTCGGAAGAAAGAATGAAGCGAGAAGAATTGGAAGCACAGTTGGTAGAGGAAGGAAGAAAGCGAGAAGAATTGGAAGAATTGATTCGTGAGATTCAGTCTGGATTTGAATCATAAATTTTTTATTCCGAGTTTATTATTATTGATTTTGAAAGTTCACGATTTTTACATATCCATACGCGTGATCAAATTTGATGATGGTTGTCATGAAGAGATAGAATGCATTATAATCTATAAATATATTTATTTTCTAATTAATTTAAACTTGTTAACGAATAAATGCATAGGAAAATTATAAACTCATTATCCATTTCAACTTTAGTTATGCATTTGCTTTATTATTTCGCGGATTGAATAATAAAAACTCATCACAAAATAAATTCATGTGTAGGTTTTATACGTGACGCCAAAAGTGTACAGTAATTCTAATCAAAACATCTCAAAAGTAAAAAAAAAAAAGCAGCAGTATACTTTGTCTAGGTCATTAGTTGAAAACATAAAGTTATTTTAAATTTGTATAGAATCATATAGAGGTGTTATTTCGATAATATAGAATATAAATTAAAATTAAAACTCATTTTTTAATTTGGTTTTTAAATAAAAATATATACATCATATTCACCTAGTCTAGATTATATTCTTTAGCTAAGTTATATCGATTATTCTTTGTTTTTGTATATCAAGAAAAAACCAATCTTATTTTAATACATATTATTGATTACTTTTATTATATAATATACAGTTTATCATAAAATATTCTGAATTTTAATTCAATATATAAAAGTTATATTATATGTTATTTATTATACAGCAGTATATAAAAATTTGAGTTTAAAAATTAAATTATTTTTTAATTTATAAAATTTATTTATTAATAAAAAAATTATTATAGATGTTACTTTTATTTAAAAACAAAACTAATCAAATTTTTAATGGATTTATCTATTATCAAATCTAAATTTTTATTGAAAACTTGTATTCAATACTTAAAAACAATACTGAAAAAGAAATTAAACTTAAATTTTAAATAAAGTTTTTTTAAAAAAGTTTTTAATATATTATTTATCAAATATAAAAATATTTTATTGGAATAAAGAGTACTAGTGGCATATATATTTTTATTGAATTATTTATAATATTCAATTATATCAGCAAAATAAATAAGGTGATCAATATATATTAATTATAATTCTCCCTACCAATTATTATGGATCCAGTAGTAGTTTTTTATATATACAGTAAATCATAATTTTTATAATATGCATGAAATTAAATAAAAATGATTGTTTTTTATTAAAAGCAAATTTATTTGTTATATGTATTATAGTAAATTTTTATATTAAAATTCTAATTTAATCTTTAATATCTTTTTTAACATTAAATAATATATCTTGTTCTTCTTATATAAGTAATATTGAATTGTCTTGCTGTATTTTATTTGATTTTGTTTTTTCTTGTTTTAATATTTCTTGCAATCGTTTTCAATTTATTATATTTTTTAATTTATTATTCAAAATTTCTTTAGCCAATTTAAGAAGAATCTTCTATTATTAAAATTTCTCTATTTAATAAATATATTAAAGATTTTATAAAAAAATTATTATATTATAATTATTTACTTATACAAAAATATTCAATATGATATTTTATCCACTTTTTAAAACAAATAATATTCTTGAATCAAGAATTCAAAAAAATATCATAGACAACAAGAGTAAATACATAATGTTTATTGCTAAAAATAAAAACAAATGTTACAAAAAAAGCTGTTTTTATAATTGAAGTTATTCAATAGATACCTTTATAATTTAATTGAAAAAGTAAATAATAATATTTAGATATTTTTATAAACACTTTTATATTATAATAGCAGCTGCTAAAATATTGCTTTTTTAAAAAAATAACAATTTTGAATCACAAACTTATCACATTTCTATTTTAATACTTTATAATATCACATTTTGATAATTTTTTATTTTTGTTAAAAGCTTTTGTTTTAATAAGATTTAAATTAAATTAAAAATATTTAAAAATATTTAAATTATTTATTTACACTTACTATATTATACAATTTATTATAAAACAGGTTTATAAACTAATTAAAGCTTAAATTAGACATGTATTTAAAGAAGTTCACTTTAAGATATTTATATAAGATATTCTTTTTTTTTTCAAATAAAAGATACTTTGTGCATGTATATATTATTGAGTAATTTATATCTAATTACATATACACTAATATCTATTTAAGTTAATCTCATTCTATATCTATAGACTTATTCAGTGTACCAATTGACATCATAGAAGTAGATCTGCACCCTGGATGGGATCTTTAGGGAATAAAAATCCTACCATTAGTTTTAAACTATCTAATCTAATTTAGATCCTGTCTCAACTACATCCATCATAGAAGAGGCACAATTATTATCTTTTAGGAGTATCTTTATAGAACACCTAAATATCACCATATATAATTTTTCATTCAGAACCTTAGAGAAGATAAGTTACTCTTTGTCACTACCTGCGGCTTCCAATTATATTGCAAATATAACCTTCTTTTATATCAGAAAATTTTTTAGAGAGTTATTTATCGATAGTCAATCAATAATCACTAGTAATCAATTATAATTAATCGATTACTAGTGATTATTGGTTGACTATCGATTAATATCAAAAAAAAAAATTGTTTATAATCGATTAATATCAATATTGATATAAATCAATAATTTTAAAAACTCTTTCCGCTGATCCTTTTGCCAACACAAAAAAACAGACGTTCCAAGAAAATTTTATATTTCCTTGTAAC